ATATATATATATTTTAAGGTAGTGTTGGTGAGATAAGGTTAACGTTTATTTAGGGGGGGGGGGTGTTAAACTAAAATTATATATTTTCATCACGACGAATTAACTTTCATATATATACATTGTTTTGAATTAAATTATTATTCCTTTTAAATATTCTTTCAAAATCTCGGCATACATAATTTCATTAGGTAATAATTAGAAAGTGTTGACTTAAAAAAAGTTATTCTTCTCAAAATTGTATTTTTTTTTTTTTTAGTTCAATTTAAAAGAGTAAACATTCCGCAAAATTTGTTTGACATAATAGTTTACAGTAAATAGGTTTGAAAGCACTATCAAGAAATTCGGTCATATGTTTTTTTCGAAATTTTTAAGGAAATTTTTTTTTTATAAAGTAAGGTAAGCTGTCATTTTGTTTAAAAAAAAACGAACAAACAAGCATGTATAAAGGTTATCCAATAAAGGCAAAATAAAGTTTTTTTAAAAAATAAACTTCCTCTAATTTTAAGGTTACCTTTTTCATATTATTTTCCCCCCTTTTATATGAAAGGGACCTAGTTATTAACGCTAGAAAAATTGAAACTTAGTATATACTTATTGCCCAAAAGCGGTCAAAATGACCGGATTGTAAGAGAATAAATAATGTGTACAGAAATTTGCTTTAAATTAATTTTTAATATTTTTTATATTATTTACAATTATATAACAAGTAATTAGGAAATATTAATAATGAAAAAGAATTATATGTTGTACAAAAAATCCCAAAATTCTAAGAAATTGTGTCATTATTTACATCATTGTTCTTTCCAATTAAAAAGCAGTCAAAATGATTTCCTTGGGCAATCTAGTATCTGTCTAAAAACGTGCATAAATTTCTTTTTCCTCTTTTTTAATCGGGAAAAAATATTTTAACGATAATAATTGTCAATTTCGTCTTCTCTGCCCTCTGTTGCTGATCATGTTTTCCCACGAACGAATCTTTCGAATCGAATGCTGCTAATCTGCTCGACACCTGGAAACAATAATGGAAGTTAGCATATGTGAACCATTTAATTGATTGTGGTTAAAATCTCCAACTGAGAAGATTAGAAAGAGGGGAAACGGAACTGACCAAGACGAGACGGTCATCATCCCTCCTCCTGCTTTTGGAACCAAATTTCCCACCCTCCCAGGGGGAGGACGTCGGTTGCAGACGACCAGGAATAATTTGTACTCATTCAAGTTGCTGGAAAAGAAAGTTTTGACAAGCATACCGGAAACGTGTAATCATTAGATGGTTTATGTCTGTGATGAAACAGTATCAGGCCTCAAGAAAGATTACCCCTGCCTCTTAAAATGGCTATAATTAAAGGCATTTTCCACTTGTAGCCGGAAAAACTACATTTTTGTAACTTACTATAACTACAACCCCCGTTAACTACAACTACAACTACTTTTTTTTTTAAATGTAGTGACCACAAGCTATTTCCTAAATGTAGTCACTAATTTAAAGAATTGATCTTTGCTTGAAAATTAAATTTTCTCCAACTGTCCATAGCCAAATTATTAGATGCACTCTAAGATTCTATGTAAAATCTTAATTATCACGTGATACACTATACAGCTTTATCGTTTTTACGCTACTGTTTGCACTTGTTCGTGTATCAATTGGTTAAATTAGACGATATATGATACAAATTTGACGATTGGATACATTAGACGATATATTATATATATTATATAAGGTATTATATTAGTATATTATAATAATTAGACCAAATTATTAGACGCACTGTGGTTTTTTAATAATTACGTGTTCTGCACGAGTTTATAGGCAATACTTTTATATTTAAACATACATGTAATGGGTTTTTATTCAGGAGATTTTTTATATACTTCCTATTTGTATTTATTTTTAACGTATTGCATTAACCAATTTGATACACGAGCGTAAGCAAGTGCAAACCAGTTTCAGTCGCGTAAAAACAATAATGCTGTACAGTATCACCAGATAATTAAGATTTTACATGGAATAATTAATTCTGAAATCCTTAATTAAATCCTTACATGGAATAATTTACATACGTCTAATAAATTTGCCAGGGACAATTTGTAAATAATTCTTCATGTATATTATGCATGAAGAATTATTTAGAAATATTTATTGATGTTCACATAAGACAGTTTATATTTCTGAAAAAGTTGCTTTTTTTAAATTTGTTTATTTAATTCAACATTTCATGCCCTTCTCAACAACAAATACTTAATTTAAGAAATGCTAGGAAATGTTCAAACACTTGAAATTTCGTGAAAATGTTTAATGCACTTTTAATTTCTTCTAAGAAATTAAATATATCGAAAATATGCTCCCTTCAACTCAGAGTCATAGGGTCATTTTAAATAGCGTTCATTGACTGACCTGTGAAGATTTGTACGTCTCAAATTCGAAAAATTAGTTGCTTCAGAATCCCGTTTCTTTACTAAGCTAATGCTAGGATTAGCTACAAACTAGTGTTTCATCGCACTTTTCACTGCACTACTTTTTTTTTAGAAAAGTAGAACATTACACTACAAGTTACAAAAAAGGATAGCGAATACGGTAATTTCACTATTTGTAGCGCGCTACTTCAGACTACTGATTTCTAGAGATAAAATGCTTAATTTAATGCAACTTTGAAAAGCATACGAGTTTTTTTTACATAAATCTTTAGTCATTTAAATCAGACAATTTGAGATGTAGAAGAAAGTAATCAATTTAAAGAATAAAATAAATAAATAAAATAATTAAATAAATAATATAAATAAAATAAATAAATAAACTGAATAAATAAATAAAGTAAATGAATAAAATAAATAAATAAACAAAAATAAATATATAAAAAAATAAATATAAAATATAAGGAAAAACTAGTTGTGGGGTGTTCTATCCCATTAATTCTCTAGTACCCCGAGATAATTTAAAAATGATTTTCATAAATTTGGATTTAAATTAAATTATTTTATGAATTAAATAGTTTTAATAAATTTTTTCTTAAATTAAAATCTGTCACACTACTTCTTAAGTTTTGTCGAAGAGAGTAGCTAGTGCACAAGTTAAGGGGGGGACACATTAACTATTATAGAAATTCATCGTCCTGTTCGCGTTGTTAAATCCGAATTTAATTTAATTAAATAATAATAATCATCATCATTAATGGCTCTACAGCCCAGGGTGGGCCTTGGCCTTCTCAAGAAGTTTTTCCAAACTAATCTTTTTCCTGCAAGTGTTTTCTATTAATTAAATAATCATTCGAACGTAATTAGATGTTTTTCTAAAGAAGTTAAAAAATTAATCTAAAATTAAACTAAAAAATTTAAATTGAAATCGACTAAAAGGAACATTTCATAACTTTTTTTTAATATTTTTAATTGCAAATTAAGTATTATAATATACCATAGCATTGTTAAAAATACTATATAAATTAGCAATCCCTCAGGGAGTTGAACTTTTAAATTTCAACAAATATGTCAATCCCCCGTTTTCAAAGATTTTTTTCCCCCGTAAGCATTGAATAAATTTTATTATTACATTTAGTGTTTGAAGAAAAATGTCTAATTTCATTCGAATATATAATTAATACATTTAATTCCTTCAAAATGGCATTCATATAACTATTCATGTAACTGAAATTCATCTAACTATTAGCAAGGTATTAAATAAATAATTCCAAAAAACTAAAGCGGTAACATATCACTTGATGAAAAAAAAAAAAAAAAAAATGAGCACAGTGACCGATACTCTCCTTATCGCTTGGAAATACATTTCACTCTGATTTGTTCCTCTCAACTACTGTGGCTTCCTTGTTTTGTTTTTAATCCTTTTTTTTCCGGTTTTCTCCAGTTTTGTTTCTCACCTTTGTTTTTGCATACCATTTTCCCACATTGTTTCTACACTTAAAAAAAAAAATCAAGAAAATTGTTATTAAATTTAAGTTCTTCAGCTTAAACAGATTTTATTAATTCAAAATCCTAAAATTTATCATCTTTTATGCCTTCTACCCCTTCAATTGCTTTTGATTATTGCACTCTTCAAAATATAATGCATGACTGTATTAATTCGGAATACATGTTTTAGTAATAAGTAACTGAAATAACTTCTGGTTTCTATTTTGATTTTTAAACTGTTTTATTGATTCTAATAGTTAACCCAAATTTCTTTTTCTTTTCCATTTTCAGTATCTCAATATTTGTTAAGGATGGATGGCAACAGCTTTTACAACGGATATCGAGCTCAGCCTCCTAAAAAAAGAAAAAGCGGTGCTGATTATGAAGAAAGAGAGATGAAGCCCGACCTGGGCAATCTAAACGTCTCAACTCCTCCAAAGAGTAACAGTTCACAATCCCAAGATTCCCCTTTGGATTTTTCAGTCAAAAATGGAAACGACTCATTCACTCCTCCTTCAGTCATTTCTCCTCCTTCAACCATATCTCCACCTTCAGCCAGATCTGCCTCATCGTCACCTTCAGCCACATCTTCTCCTATATCTCCTCCCACAAATAGTTTTCCCAATTCTGATTTCGAAATGAGAGGAAAGAATACAGCAGTGAGAATGTCACATAATACTAGAGATCACGTGGTCGATTGTTCCGAATCAGGACCAAGACTAAGTCCTGAAACTTTTAACCCATGTCGGCCTAAAGTCTCAGTTGTAAATCCCACAGTGCATATGCACAATGATGAAACCACAAATGGACATAAAGAAACACCCGTACCCAACTTACCTTTGCCAAGTTTTGGAAAATTCGTACAAAGCCCACGGAATTCATACGATGTTCCTATAAATGCAGGAAACTCTGAAATTGGTTTTGGAAATATCGGAAGTGTTCCTAAAGAATATAGATCTCACTCAAAAAAATACGAAAGTGTGGTAAATGGTTTTGGCCAGTCAATTCCAAACGAAGGCTTGTGTTCAGCAAACATTTCAAGCTACAATCCATATTTAGGCATGCTTCCTGGATCTTTCGGAGCTGGACTTATCAATGGACAAGGAGGAATTCTAACACCTCAAGGAGGACTCTTAGGTGGTCAAAGTGGACTTTTAAGCAGTCAAGTAGGACTTTTGAATGGTCAGGGTGGACTACTAGGTGGTCAAGGAGGACTTCTCAATGGTCATGCATATAAATATGGCTCTACTGAAACAAATGGTGATAGAAAGGTATCAAAAGCTGCTCGGCCTTTCAAAATATATGAACAAGAAATTCTAAATTATCCGTTTCAGAATTGCCCAACAATGATTCCTCCTAGATTCCAGGAGGTACCTCAGCAGCCTACTACCACATATAATCCTACTGAAAGCTCTAGAAATGAATCACCCACACACCAGCAATCTAATTCCAGTTCTAGGCTATCTAATGCATCCATCGAGGTCCAACGCGATGCTTCAGACTGCTTTTCTGACGAATCACAGCATTCCAACAATCCTCAGCAGGGCTCTGAAGGCAACAGTGCACGCCGGAAAGGGCAGAAGTATCCCGACGAAAAGAAGGACGCTGCCTATTTCGAGAAGCGACGGAAAAACAACTTAGCCGCAAAGCGTTCCAGAGACGCTCGACGTCTAAAAGAAGACGCCATCGCCACGAGGGCGAGGAACCTCGTACAGGAGAACACGCTTCTCAGGATGAAGTTGGCTGAATTTCAGACCATTAATTTGAGGTTGGAAGCTGAATTGAGTGGATTTAAAAGGGCAGCTTATGACCAGAGAAGCGAAATTGACAAACTTAAGGACGAGGTTGAGAGGTTGAGCAGAGGATTCGCATTTAATAATGGATCTAGGACTTGTGATAGATCAGAGAGCCCTAGTCTTTAAGTTTCATCTAAAAGAAAAAACTGGTGCTCAACTTTTTAGGACAATAACCTTTTTTATATTTTTTTTTCCTGCTTGAAGTTGAAAGCAGTGTTCAATGATTTTAAAGGGACAATTTAAAAATTTTAAAAACTTTGACAAATTTTAAAATATAGTTTAAATGCTAAATTTAATTTTAGGCCATAATGGTTATGGCATTTAACATTATAGAGAAAAGTACAAATAGAAAAAGTCCTAATGAGCCCTAGTTCTTTTAATCTGTTCAGGACCGTGATCACACGGACGTCATCACGTGATTTTCCAGTCACGGTCGATGGAATCATATAAGAAACGAGTCTTTCTGATCACTAGGACATGATCTCTATTCAATATTCCACGTATTGCATCTCATTTTATTACATAGTATATACGCGCTTTACTCTTTAGTATATAGTATATACGTACTTTTAGAATATCTTTACTCTTTAGTATGTATATACTAACATTATAATCTCGGAGCGTGTGGGACTGGTAAACGATTTCTTTCTAAAGCCGGACCATGAAGGGTCTTTCATAGCCGGACCTAAACAGATTAAGTGATTTTTTTAAACGTTGGACTTTTCCTCTAATCCTTCATCTAAATTTTTTAAAATTTTTAATTGTTTTATATATTTTTTTACAATTTTTCGATGTACCTCCTATATTTATCAAAATTTATTAAAGACAGGTCATGTTCTACATTTAGAAATAAATGTAGTATTTTTTTTAGCTGAAATACCTTTTAAATTTTGTGAGGAAAAGCGTTAAATACAAATGTTTGTGTTGTAGTTATAAAACTATTGCGTGTTTTAATGTTAAATAGAAATTAATTGCAAGCTAATTAATTTTCTAAATATTTATTTTAATTAATTTTATAACAGGAAAACTTTTTCAAGATCTGCACAAAGAATTATTTTATTTTTTATTTTTTTTTTATTTGAAGATACTAGTGTTTACAAGTATCTATATTTTTATTCATTTTTTAAGAAAATTAAGCCTATTATTTTGGTTATCCGGTTTCAAAATTGTTTAATGAATGTTTTTTTTATAATGGCTTATTAAAATAAAATATTATTCATTCATACATTGAAAAAAGATCAGAAAAAGTACATAAAATTGTAGGAGGAAGGAGAATTAATGGCATCGGTTTATAATTTGAATTAAAAACTCGTCTCTTCTTAAAAATGTTATTATAAATACTTGTTTGATTTCGAGCATGTTTTAATCTAAAAGATTTTTATTTGTTTTTAATTATCTATTTTACCCGCTGTAAAGCTTATTTTCATGATTTTTAGTTAGGTTTACTTAATTAAATACATATATATATATATATATGTAAGCTTTGACTATTATTAGATATATAATTCACATATATTTAACTTTTGAAAAACAGGCTGATTGTTTCAAAGAAAGGCAATTAAATTCAAGAGCATTTTTAGAAAATTTTTATGAATTTCATGAAACTAAACATAAATATTGCTAGAAATGTTTTTCATTTCAAATTTAATTTTAAATTAAGCATGAATATCGTTTATACAGATATTAGTTTTAAAAAAATTCCTTTATTTTACAAAAGCATAAATTAAAAATAAAAATTGACTCTGGTTTATAAAGGAATAAGTTAAAAATGAAATTTGGCGTTAATTTATAAGAGCATTAGTTAGAAATAACAACTGCCATTAATTTCTTAAGTCAAAAATTAAAAATAAAAATTTCCTATTAGTTTATCAGGGCATAATTTAGAAATGAAAATAATAAAAATTGCCATTAATACAGGTATAGGTAAATTCCGGAGACTTATATATGTAAAATGCAACTACGCTACCTCACAAAAATTGTGATAATTTGTATAATTAATTTGTGACAAAATATTTTTATAGTGTGATTTTAGATTAAATAAGAACAAAAAATAAAAAAATGTAACGTTTTAAATCAACTTTTTTGAAAATATATAAATTAAATTATTTTGTAAAATATAATGTTTGCGTAAATGTAGATAAATGTGTAAACACTAGAAATGTAAAAAACTAGTGAGAAGGTAACTAATTAGACATAATTTTTTTTTCTCCATTTACATTGTACATAACTTTTTTATTTGTAATTGCACATTTTTAACAATGCTTATCAACGGGCAAGTGGCAATACTTAATACATTTTCCAGCTTATGTGCTTGTGATTTATGTTGCGAGAGAGCAAATGTAATTTTTTCACTTATTTAACTAAAAAAAAATTACAAATAATAATTTTATCATGCAGTAGGCTAATTTGAAAATTCTGTTGTTTGCAAACTGCTAGCGTCACTTAGCAATCTCGTAAACTAATTCAAAATTCTGGCTAATTGCAAAGGGCTGAAGTCATTTGTACTTTGTCCTTACTTTTGCTATATAATGGTATACTAAACTTCCATTTCATGATCTCAAAAGTTTCGATTTATGTTGCAGCAGAATATATAATTTTTTACTTGTTAAATGATTTTTTTTTTTTTTTTAAAGTTGCAAATAATATTTTACTGTGTCGTAAGCCAAATGGAAATTCTGTCTGTTTGCAAACTGCTGCAAACACTTTGTAATTTTTTGATTGCCGTATTGTGTATTTTTTCCTTGTCTCTTTTTTATAATATGTGTGCATCATGTGATAATTGTTGTGTATTTAATATAATATTTTATGTTCAAATGTTTATTTTAATAGTACAATAAATAATATTGTGTTAATGAACTAGTGTTTTCTTGGTATTTTCATACGTTGAAATAAATTATGTGATATTAATTAAAAATTCAGTGAATGGTCATTACAAATAAGTTTTACAATGAAACAACTTTAGAACCTTAATTGATTTTTAGACAATTGTGAATTGCTGGCGTGATTAAAAAAATGTACACATCAAATCCAAAATACTTTGCTTTTACAAAATTCATCTTTAAAAAGGTATGCAACACCTAATATTTACTATAATATTTTTAGGAGTCATGGTGGCTCAGGGAATAGAGCGTTCGCCCTCCAAAAAGGTGAACCGGGTTAGAGTCCCAGCCATGACTGGTCGATACGAATTCCGCACCCAGTTAGCACTGACCACAGTGCTGAAGTAAAATATCCTCATTGGTAGACGGATGATGGGTTAGAATCTCCTTTCCATCAAAAATTTCTCCCCATATTTGATCTAGGAGTTCCCTTGCCTTCTATGTTGGGTTCAAAAACAGCAAGGTTACGGATTTGAACATTGGTAGTCGTAAATCCAAAAAATCGTCTGCTGTTCAACAACGATTACAAAGCAAAACGATTAGAAGGAATAAAGTAATTTTGATGATCAATAAACAGTCATAATTATATGTGTTTTAAAATTTATATAAAAATGATTCAATGCTGATAAAAGGTAGAAAAATAAAAAAGAAAACGTACTAAAATTCAAATTATTTCTTAAGAAATCTGTAATTAAAGACTGCTTTGACAGACATTAAACTTGCATTTTTCTACACTGCCAAAAAAAAAGGATAAAAAATCTCGTTTACTTTATTACTGTTATCAATTTTCGACTATTTCGTTAACAAATCTTTGTGAGTGAATAAAATATCTTTAATTAAGTGGCTATTCTCATCTTAAGTGAAAAACGAAAATTCAATTTGAAATATTTCTTAAAAATACATTTTTCTTCTTTATGCGATTAAGCGAGATGGCAATCATAAATAATCGTTTAATCAAAGAAATTTGACATTGGTTTCACGTAAAATAATTTGCTACTATGTACATAATTTTATTCCCATAACTGGGTTGTTCGATTATCCGATATACAATTAAGTTTTATAATTATTAACATTAAAGAAAGAAATATCTAAATTTGATTGAATTACGCAAATGTTATGTATCATCAATCTTAACCTATTTGTTTTTTTAATTTTTTAACTCTTGGAAAATATTATGTATAAAAACTTTTAATTGAAGTTTAATTTTGTTCTAAACTTCTATTTGTTTTTAATCAGTTAAAACATGTTTCTTAAGTTTTATGTTGACACGCCAAGTACAACTTTTTTCCCAAAATTGCTGTGGCATGCTTGTAAATATTAAGGGTTGATGGTAAGTAATTATAGGTTAAAATTAGTAAATTTTGCAGCTGACCAGTGGTCATTTATATTTAACATTGGTTATTTTCTTAAAAAATTGAAAACCTTAAGCGATTAAGAAAACTGTTCATAGACAAAAGACATTTCTTTTCAAGCATTTTTCAAAATATATTAAACGCTTCATTTATAAAATAAGAAAAAGTTTATGAAACAAGAGTGAGATAAGCTATTTTTCATTACATTTTAAAACATTTTCCAATTTTATTAAAAAAATATTAATAATAACATGGAAATGAAGTGCATTTTAACAAAAAAAAGTGGAGATCGGGTGGCGACTGGTAGTCACTTTTTTTTTATTGCAACTCGTCACCAATTAATTGATCAGTGTCAACAGTTTATTTTGCACGATTTGTGGAACACCCATATACAATTTGAGAATTCAAACTTACCACTGTATTTAAAAAAAAAAAAATGAAATAAAAAAAATTTAAATAAGCACTATTTGAAACAGAATATGATTAAAATTCTCAACTACTAATTATTTTGTATTTAAATTGAAATATAAATAAATAAAATATAAAAATACGTAACTAAAAATAAAGGAATGTAAGTAAATATTTAATTTTATAGACTCGTAAAGTTCAAAATACTTTAAAAATATTTAATATTACATATTTTTTTTCAAAATTTCTTTTAATGCCGAAACTTTAGTAAATTTTCAACTTTAAAATTTAAGATGAAAAATTAATAATTGTTTAAATATTGCTTATTTTCAAAATTTAATATAAGTTATAAAAAATAATTTTTTTAGATATATTTAAATAAATATAAAATAATACCAACAGTCTTAAAAAATTGAAAGTAAATATATGTAAAAGTTCATATTTCCTCAACAATTAAGTATTTTAAAAATGTGATTTTGATTAGGTTTGAATATATATTTAATTTTTATAACCATGCATTTTTTAGTATTATTATTTATCTTTTTATTATAATATTTAAAAGGAAACGAAAAGTCTTTTTATTGTCATTTTAATTTATTTATAATATTTTCGTCCTTTGTTGCTCTTTGTTGCAGCATAAAAATTTTTAAGCTGCAAAGCCTTTTTAATTTATATATAGTAATAAGAGATTTCAAAAGACTCTTTCAGTACAAAATAATAATTATAAAAACAAAGGCTTATAAATGATCTGTTAGTTAACTCTCCACTGTTCATAAATGTGCATTTTATCGCAAAATTTAAATTTCACCATTTTAATCGCTTTTTTTTAAATTTTTATTTGAATTTAAGTAATTCCTTTTTTTTCTTAGTTTATTATAAAGTTTTTTTATTAATCATCCTATTTCTTATTCTCAGT